AAAACGTTTTTGTATTCCGAAACCAATGGCTGGCTCCAGAGATTGTAATTTTATTTAAGGAGGTACAATATCGAAGAATATATAATACAAGGACGTCTGTTTGCATCTTCTAAGAGCCCAGGCGATTTAAGTGTCTGGAATTTTATTTACATAAACGGGTGAATTACTTGAAGTGAATGAACTTTCACAAATACTGACACATAATTTTTACGTGCATATATCAAATCTGTTTCTACGGAAATGCAATAAGTTCGTATTCGTTATGTGTTGCAAGGACGTGAAATTAGAGTGTCAAGATCATATAAACTTCATGACGCGTTGTACTTTCTTGTTAGACAAATGGGGAATTCTTAACTGTAACGTTGTCTTTTCACTGCATAATTATCTAGTGACATAAACATGTGAATGAACAGTAATATGGAATTAATCAAATTATAAAACTAATTACAGAACACTCACCAAATTCCATACAGTTCACATAGTTAACAGAAAAAAGTTCGTTACAGCAATATATGAATTCCATACAATTCACACAGTTGACATAAACCAAAGTTATCAATAGCAATATGTGAATTCCGTACAGTTTTCACAGTTGACAGAAACCAAGTTATCAATGGCAATATGTGAATTCCGTACAGTTGACAGAAACCAAAGTTATCAATAGCAATGTGTGAATTCCGTACAGTTCACACAGTTGACAGAAACCAGTTTACAAAGAACACTTAGTACAATTGTTCCGTTTTCGTAGCAGTTGTTGTTTCTGTGTAAGCTAACGGTACCTTGAAAATGGATTTAGACCCGAAACGTTTAAATAAAGTAACAACATTGTCATCAATTGATGTTTTCTTTCTTCTCAACCCCGCCCGACCCCCTTTTTAAGATTAACAAATGTTTATAATTTTCGCGTTATTATTCTGCGTTCAAATCCAACTTTCGTGAGAAACGTATATGAAGTGTAACAGAATGATGAACTTTTGAAATATATATTTACAGGATTCGTCAAAGAGTTCGTAAAAATATATTTGTCGTGCTTATTATATTACTGTTTATATTTGATTTTACTTAGTGACGAAGGACTGCGAATGTACGTATATTGTCTTTATGTCTTTACGTTGCAAATGTTATCAAACTATTGTTTTATTGTACATTAATATATTCAGTAACACATTTTAGGAATACATAATTAAAGATTTATTCGGGCTTAGATTTTTATTTGTTATTTGGGGGTTTTAGGAGAGAGTGCGGACCATTATATATTACGTTTTCCAGCGATGTTCTATCTATTGGCGCATTCCAGCATTTTATATGAAGCTTGATTTTCGAGTTATTCTGTCTATAGTTTTTATTTTCAGGTTATTTTGGGGTGTGTGGCTGTGAAGTAGTTTTTTTTTTTAAGTCTTCTAGTGATCCTCTATCTATAATGAAAAATGATTCGTGCCTGCATTTTATATGACCTATAGTTTTCGAGTTATTCCTGTATATAGTTATTATTTTCAGTTTTTTAGGAGTGTACGTATGTGTACAGGGTGTTTAGGCCTTCCAGTGGTTCTCTAGTTAAAAATTATTTATGTCTGCGTTCTATATTACCTTTGGTTATTAAATTATTTATGTTTATAGTTTTTAGGAGTGTGTTTGTTTCTGCACGTACAGGGTTTTTAAAGCCTTCCAGTGGTCCTCTATTTACAAAATACAAACAATAAATAGGAATAACTCGAAAACCAAGGGCTATATAAAACGCAGACATGAATCATTTCAGGTTTTTAGGATTGTGTGTACAGGGTGTTTAGGGTCTTCCAGTGGCTCTCTAGTTAAAAATGATTCATGTCTGTCAATCCCACATTTCTAATAATGGCCGTGGTTAGTGTTGACTATCAGTCTTTCCTTTAGTCTACCATTTCTAAATTAGGATCGGCTAATAATGGCCGTGGTTAGTGTTGACTATCAGTCTTTCCTTTAGTCTACCATTTCTAAATTAGGTTCGGCTAATAATGGCCGGTTTTTAGTGTTGACTATCAGTCTTTCCATTAGTCTACCATTTCTAAATTAGGTTCGGCTGGCGCAGATATCCCTCGAGTAGCTTTGCGCGAAATTCAGCAAACAAGCAAACAACAAAATATCTTAGTTATGCTAGTATTTTTTCAAGGTTCTGTAAACATATAGATTTTGAATGACAAATTGAAAAGATTAGCTAATTTATGATGTGCATCTATGACTGAACAAACACTAGTGCATGACTATGTTTAGCCAGCATTACTCTGAATAACATTATATACGATATAACCACCATATTTATATGTGTATGATTTAAGTACTAATCGTTTTTGAACATCCACTGTTATATATATCTATGGCTCCCCAAACACTAGTAAATATCTATTATTCAAAAATCATCACCGTAAATATAATGTTTAACCATCGTTGTTACTAACTTTTGTTTGTTTCAGAATTTTTGCGCAGAGCCTGCCCTAGTTTTGAGCTGATAACACTGGCAATGGATTTATTTATGGAGAGAACAAAGTATAATAGTAAAGACGAAAACAATTTGCAAAACATTTTTATTTACAAAGTTCGAACATTTATTCCATCTCCAGCAAAATCTGAAAATATTGTTATAAAAATATTTGTTAATAAATGTTATGGTATCATTAATCATTAATAGAGTAATAATGGTAAACGAAAATGAAAAGAAACTATATATTACGAATGTATCATGAATTACAAGTTGCATGAGACAAATGTAACTATTCTTAACAAACAGTTAAGACTCAACTTAACTCATTTAACATTTTGTAATGCTTATTGAAAATGGTGGAGGTTAGGACTCTTAAAATTGTAGAAATATAAAGTGGTTTATTTCTACTACAATGTTTTTTTTTATGTCTAAATATTGGGATAACTGCTTTCCCAAAACTGGCTGCAAACAGCGAAAGACAGTAGGAGTTGAGGACATGTGGGTTTAAGCACTCAACTCCTAATCCCTAATTGATTCTCCGTGGCTGCTAACTAGTTCGAAATCTGCGTTTGGATCATGTCTGATAGATGGAATATCCCCTTTTGGGAGCTATGATCACAAACATTTGCCATTATGATTTAATGATAATGACAAGGATTGGGAATGGACAAATGTTTTGGTTTTGTTTAAATATCATGGTGAGTGTTGTTGCTTTGATTTGTATAACACAATTATGTGTATATTAGACATATGACATTATGTAAGTAATGATTGAATCATATATATAGATATGTGTATGTATATGTATATGTATATATATAATTCAATCATTACTTCTACACTTCTAGTTTAAGTATCATTTGTGTATTTGTAATCCATCCACTACTACTATACTCTTAGTTTAAGTACCACTTGTGTATCTATGATCCAGCCACCACTATTATACTCTTAGTTTTAGTACCACTTGTGTATCTATGATCCAACCACCACTATTATACTCTTAGTTTAAGTACCACTTGTGTATCTATGATCCAACCACCACTATTATACTCTTTAGTTTAGGTATTACTTGTATATCTGTGATCCATCCACTACTATTATACTCTGTAGTTTAAGTATTACTTGTATATCTGTGATCCAACCACCACTATTATACTCTTAGTTTAAGTACCACTTGTGTATCTATGATCCAACCACCACTATTATACTCTTAGTTTAAGTACCACTTGTGTATCTATGATCCAGCCACCACTATTATACTCTTAGTTTAAGTACCACTTGTGTATCTATGATCCAACCACCACTATCACACTCTTTAGTTTAGGTATTACTTGTATATCTGTGATCCATCCATCACTATTATACTCTGTGGTTTAAGTATTACTTATATATCTGTGATCCATCCACCACTATTATGCTCTGTTGTGATCCATCCACAACTTTTGTGTTAAACTCTAACAATGTTAAATTTTAGCAAAAAAAAAACAGGAAACGATTTCGGAATAAACCTGCACATTGTTTGTTGTTGTTTTATTGTTATTTTACTTTCAAACACCACATTGAAGAATACAATATTCCACTGACCAGAGGTGATTGCAAGAAAGTGATACAAGCCGTAAAGTCATTGAATTGCCTGTAGTAGGCTGATATTGACTCTACAGCTACGAAGTATTAGATTGAACTACTATCACACTCTATTATGATAAAACATTATATTGAATTTCAAAAAAAAAAAAAAAACGTACAATAGCATCTAATTGGGTTGAAATTGGAATCATTAAATCTTATCAGTATGATTTCGATTAATACTAATTATGTCTTACGTTGATCTTTAACCATGTTTTTCATGATTAAAAGTTTATGTTGACGGAGAAGTAGCACGTAATACGCCTTGTTAATTTTAATTATATTTATAAAATACTGTGTAAACTTTACTTATTTTATACAAATCTAGATAGTATTTTTTAGGATAAATTTCCACAAAGATTGTTTAGTTCTTTCCAAAGTTATACCTGGTGAACGAAATATACATTAACGACAAATGTTACTCGTTACTGGCTCAAAATTAACAATCTAAAGGCTTTAACTATTTGATAAGTGTTTTTACACAGATATATGAACATTTAAATTGATTTTTACAAATTCTGGTTTGCTGTTGCTGTTTTTCTTTCAGAAGATAATTGGTGAGTAAAATAGTTACAACATGTTTTTCTTACAGAAGATAACTGGTGAGTAAAATAGTTATAACATGTTTTTCTTACAGAAGATAATTGGTGAGTAAAATAGTTACAACATCATGTTTTTCTTACAGAAGATAACTGGTGAGTAAAATAGTTACAACATGTTTTTCTTACAGAAGATAATTGGTGAGTAAAATAGTTACAACATCATGTTTTTCTTACAGAAGATAATTGGTAAATAAAATAGTTACAACATCATGTTTTTCTTACAGAAGATAATTGGTAAATAAAATAGTTACAACATCATGTTTTTCTTACAGAAGATAATTGGTAAATAAAATAGTTACAACATCATGTTTTTCTTACAGAAGATAACTGGTGAGTAAAATAGTTACTTCTACAGAAAAGGCCGATAAGACGTAAATCACATTTCGAATTTAGTTATCCCTTTCGAAGAAAAACTTTTCATAAGCCGAACACCCAAATCATCGTATTTACCTTAATAAAACAAAGGAGATCCTAATGTGGGGAGCGTGGTGTATTTTTATCTTGTGCCAGCTCGTTTCACTACCAGTCATCAGATCAGAAGAAGCATTTCATTTAAGGGACCGACATGATAATCTTAGGTACAGAGTCTTCAACGACAAAAACTTGGTTACTTCAGAAGATAAAGCAGAGGTATCATATTTACTTAATTTTTTTTACAAATGTTTGTGGGTTCACTTATAATAAACTAAAGTTAAAAATGTTTTAAACAAAATTCATATAGTCTGTTGTTGGAAGGTTAACTTGTTAATAACAATATTTTCATTTATTTTTGGCAAGAAAATTTCATATCCGTTTACACTTCTTTTATTATTCAGGTTAATTTGTTCCATTGTCTTCTTTTGAGTTAACTCTTTTATTTCTGTCAATATAATGTGGACCTCTCTTTATAGTTTTTCAATTTTATTCTTTAGTTTTCTGTCGTTTATCTGTTTACATTATTGTTTTTTCTTCCTATAATTCTATCAACTTTTGAATTTTTTTCGCAACTTTGAATCAGTATACGTTTACCTCGCCATTGTTTCAGATAGTTTATCTTGCCACATCCACTGCAGTTTTGATGCGCCAGTACAAGTCTCTAGCCACATTATCTATCCTAGCTGGGGTGGTATATGGAGAAACATAGACAGCAACCAGTACTTATATACAGCCACTAGTATTCATATATAGCTATCAGTACTCATATATAGCCACTAGTATTCATAGACAGCCACTGGTACTCATATACAGCCACTAGTATTCATATATAGCTATCAGTACTCATATATAGCCACTAGTATTCATAGACAGCCACTGGTACTCATATACAGCCACTAGTACCCATAGACAGCTACTAGTACTCATATACAACCACTAGTATTCATAGACAGCCACTGGTACTCATATACAGCCACTAGTACCCATAGACAGCTACTAGTACTCATATACAACCACTAGTATTCATAGACAGCCACTGGTACTCATATACAGCCACTAGTACCCATAGACAGCTACTAGTACTCATATACAGCCACTGGTACTCATAAACAGCCACTAGTATTCATAAACAGCCACTAGTATTCGTAGACAGATACTAGTACTCATATACAGCCACTAGTACCCATAGACAGCCACTAGTACTTATATACAGCCACTAGTACTCATATACAGCTACTAGTACTCATATACAGCCACTAGTATTCATAGACAGCTACTAATATTCATAGACAGCTACTAGTACTCATATACAGCCACTAACATTCATAGACAGCCACTAGTACTCATATACAGCCACTAGTATTCATAAACAGCCACTATTATTCATATACAGCTACTAGTAGTCATATATAGCCATAGTAGTCATATACAGCCACTAGTATTCATATATAGCTACCAGTACTCATATATAGCCACTAATATTCATTGACAACCACTAGTACTCATATACAGCCACTAGTACTCATATACAGCCACTAGTATTCATAAACAGCCACTAGTACTTATAGACAGCCACTAGTACTCATATACAGCTACTAGTACTCATAGACAGCTACTAGTACTCATATACAGCCACTAGTATTCATAGACAGTCACTAGTGCTCATAGACAGCCACTAGTATTCATAGATATCTACTAGTGCTCATATACATCCATAGTCGTCATATACAGCCACTAGTACTCATATATAGCTACTAGTACTCATATACAGCCACTAGTACTCATATACAGCCACTAGTATTCATAGACAGCCACTAATACTTATAGACAGCCACTAGTATTCATAGATAGCTACTAGTACTCATAGACAGCCACTAGTACTCATATGCAGCTATTAGTACTCATAGACAGCCACTAGTACTCATATACAGCCACTAGTATTCATAGACAGCTACTAGTACTCATATACAGCCACTAGTACCCATAGATAGCTACTAGTACTCATATACAGCCACTAGTACCCATAGACAGCCACTAGTACTCATATAAAGCCACTAGTAGTCATATACAGCCAGTAGTAGTCATATACAACCACTAGTACTCATATACAGCCACTAGTACTCATATACAGCCACTAGTATTCATAAACAGCCACTAGTATTCATATACAGCCACTAGTACTCCCACGGAAAACTTATGATGCAGCGCATCACGTTTGTTTGCTTCTTAGATGTGGATACTCACTGATCTTATCAAGTGTTTATTCCGATACTTGGCAGTCTTACCGACATAAGTAGGAATTTCTACAACTGACGTGCTACTGATAATCATTTATCCTTCTGAAGAGGTTGTTTACTGAGTTAAATGCGGGTAAAGCGAGAAAGAGAATCAAATTACTTAACGAAGATTTAATAGAAAATGTAACGAACTAAAACAGTTTATTCTCTTCTCAGTTTTAAACCTTTCATATAAATACTTTGGCTAATTATTAAGTTAACGAACAATTTTAGTTTTAAATGCTAATACTAAATTTGGGAAATAAGAATTAAGATTATTTCAATAATTATTAGTATATTCCAGCACACATTATAATAGAAATTAGATGTTCAATATGTCGAAACGGAAAAGGTGTTGCTATTTAGACATGATAAACGTTTGTGGACTTCCCACAAATATCATTATCTTGATATTTTCAACCTGAACAACACTCACACAGGCTATATGGCCAGTTAAGTGATACCAGGCACATTTAGAACTTCAAACAAATATTTTGTGTGTTCACCTTATGATCACAATAGGCTAAACGGCCTGGTCAGAGAACCCTGTGACTGGCTTAGTCATCTCTAATTTTGAGCTGATAGCGGAGGGAAAGCGACCAGAATTCTTATAATGCAACAACAGTCGAAAGTTTAAAGTGTATGTGGTAGTACCTCATCTCGAACCAGAAATATTAAGGTCTCCCATTCGATACGCTAATTACTATACCAGAAGTAGAATAATCAATCAGCAGCATCCACTTCTTGAATCAGCCACTCTTAATTATGTAAGTGCAGGATATCTCGATTCGAGTCTTGGACTTTGAGGACCTCAGCCCAGCACACAAGTGATGCCTGACAACAGACGACTGATACTTTTTTATAATTACTGATTACTTTCCCTCCACTTCTCCTATAATCAAATGAAACATTCGTTGATACGAAATAATCTACTGTTGCTCACATAAAAAGTATATTGTAGAAGTAATTTATTACACGTTCCTTATTAACGTGATAGCAGTTATCTGCAACAGTTATATGTTAATATTTTAGCAACAGAAGGTTCTCATTTAGCGAATAAAAGTATACATACGGGGTCAGCAAGCCAAAGTTTGCAGTTTGGCATGCAAAAGCTTAAGGTAACACCTTTTGAAATAGAAATTTAAATATAAGCAAGTAAACAGTTAAAATAATTACTTTATGCAAATTATCAAACTTGTCAATTAACAATAAAGTTCCGAACATATGGGTAATGGTAAGAACAAAACATGTACCTTCCGTTTTTTTTTTCCTATTTATATGCTTGGCCTATTGGTTAATGTACCAAGCTGCAGATCAAATGTTTCAATCATTGGGCTGAACACACTCTACACTTTCAAGTGTAATCACGTTATAAAAGTAAAAGGCAATCCCGTTGTTCAGTTCAAAATGCCTTACAAAGCACCTATAGCGGTGAATGCTTCTGACTGGCTACTCTCCGTTTTGTTCAGTAGTTCGAATTTAGAGTTGGCCAAAACTAAACTTCAGGGATCTCTGACTTTGCTGTTGAAAACTCAAATATTCTATTTTGTCCACCTTATTAAATACAGCATTTCCT